TTGTACTATTAAAATTGGTTATGGTTATAAGACAAGCTGTGGTGTATAGTAACTACATTTTTGGAATCTTTTTGTTGCTAGTATTCTGAGACAGTGCCCATACTTATATCAAGAGAACGTAGCAAGCAGTTTTTAATAAAATGTACTTTCCAATCCTGATGATTTTAAAGACTTGTTCGCAGGACAGAATCATATCCTTTTACCTGACTTGCTGGACAAACTTTTCTTTTTCCTTGTTAATGTTTTCAAAGGCCCATCACGAGGTGGTTATTTCATTTCATTTCAGTTTTATTGGGCTTCCCCTGTCACCCGTTATATTTTAATGAAACAGATTGGACTTTTTATTTAAACATCTGGTAACAGCTGCAAGAAAATTAATTAAAAGCCGTCAGAGTGAGAGTCAACACTTTCCTGGATAAATCCGATAATGTATAAAGTTTGCTTGAAATGAAACATTAATAAATCCCTTTGCTCCACTAACTCCAAAAAGCAAAGTGCTAAGACAAGGTTCACTTATAGAAACTCCAGATGAGCATGTTGTAGTCTGGCAGCTTTGGTCTTAATACTCTTCATAACCTCCCATTCAGAGCACTTTCAGTATATGTATTGGTTTTAAATGAGCTGGACACAGAACATGGGTGAACTGGAATAGGGGCCATACCTGTAGAATGGAAGCTGAGTTTAGAGTATGGGGAGAGTCTGGGGTATGAGTGTTTAAGGTCCAAAGTAAAGGGTTGTGCAGCAGCACAATCAGATTTCGTTATACTTGCCCACTTTTGAATATTCAGCTGTACATGACTAAGCTTTATGGCGGCAGGAGAGAATGGGACATGTGCCACCCCTCGCAGTCTCTGCACAGGTGTATCACTCTGCTGCGGGTGGGCACGTCTTCCTCAGCACATTGAGCGCTGACTGTAGTGGTGGCGTGTCTCTCACTGATGTCAGGGCTGGCCTGCAGACTCCTGGCAAATCACAGAGGAGTAAGGGTCTGCCAGGAAGCCAGCAGAGCCCTGGCTGACTACTCTCGGCCCCATCCCTGGTGCACTCAGCCAGCTGTGTGCTGCTGCTTGGTGAATCCCAGTTAGAGCCAGCAAGTTCCGTGGCCAAGAGTCGAACTGGAGAGGTCAGGACAATAGGGCTTAAGCCGAGCTCTGAGCCAAACAGTATTCATCTAGGAAAGAGGCGCGTTGATCAAGCATTAGAATTATTTTTTATTTTATGGTTTTTAAATTACATTGGTGTTGAGTGGAAGCTGGCCTTTTTTTTTACTGTGCTGTGGATTTCTCTGTTGAGGACACAAACCAGCCCGGAAGGGACTGTACGTCAGCACCATGTTTGTCCAGCAGATTTACAGACTCACAGATGGGTTTTAATGACTTCTCACTGGAAGGATATGGTACCACAAGGCAGTTAAAAAACTAAAGTGATGCTTCCATGGCAACACGGCTGTTTTACGTGGCGATAAAAGTTGGGTTCATAATCAGAGTGATAGTCTTTCTGTATTATTTGGAGAACCTTCCTCTTTTAGCGGTCTATGTCGTAAAAATATCACGTTTGCTCTTTGAATGAAGCAAAACGTAATTCATCATATTGCTTATTCGTTAAATTGCTTCATTTCTCTGGTCTCCATGTCTTTTTTCAACTCAAAAGGTGTAATTTTAAACGAGGGGACCAACACAGCTCTAGAAAACCAATGCCGTGGTTGAATTCAGCTCCATGACTTGGGGAATTGCTGGCAAACAAAATAATTAAATGCACTCTAGTCTATACAGTATATAACTGCTTCAGATTTGACAAAGGAAAGCTCCCTAGCCTATCTGAAGCTAAGTTATTCTTTTTTAAAAAGTCATTTTTGCTTGAATAGTTGGAATATATGAGACTTTAAAGATCTTTAAAATCTTACCAATGTGGTCGCCAAGAGATCCCCCAAATAAGATGATTAATACAAGATTTATTTTTGCAATTTGTTTGGGACCCAACTTCTAAATTTCTCACGAACAGAACAAAAGAAGCCAGGGTATTGGCATCTATAACAGGACTGGGTAGCTTGTTCCAGACACAATCCTTTGTGTAAATAAAGTGCCTCTTGTTCCCTCTTTTAAATGCACAGTTTCTGTCCTCTGATTCATGGTTCACTGTTTATTCAGGAAATGAACAGTTTTCTATTCTAAAGGTAGAACAGAAATAGAAAAGGCACTATTCTAAATTCACTAGGAATGACAACACCCAAGATGAAAGCGACACGGAGCGAAATTGTGGCTTCACCTGCTCGGCTGAGGGCTGGCTTCCTGGCCAGAGGACAAGGAGACCAGAAGCCCCCTCAGGGTGACCGAGGGGCAGCTGCAGAGGGGGAGATGGGGTGGAGGTGGGATGCAAGAGAGAGAGATGGGGATCTCGCAGGTATTTATAGCGTTTGGGAGAGGAATGGATGTCAGGAGCAATTGCTAATTACTGACAGCTGAGTCTGATTGAACTTGGTTGCTGTCATCCCTCCCGAACTTTTGTTACAAACTCGGTTTAGGTCATAATAATGCCTAAATCTAGTTCATTGACATAGTAAATGGAAAAAGAGCAGTAGTCCTAGTTAAGATCCTTGTGGTCCCCTGCTACTTTTGTCCCACAAATTTCAGCTTTTACCTCTGTACCCTCTGCTTCTTATACATTAACCAATTCCCATTCCAAAAACATCTAATAGACTCGTGTTTAAAATTCTTGATTGCAGTTGCTTGTTCAAAGACCTCAGACATGTTACTTAAGCAAGACCATCCTGTTCTAAACTCATGCTGACGTGCAGATGTTCTGACTATTATTTTTCCATAACCTTATATATAATAGGACTAAAGCACAATGTTCTAGAATTACTTGTTCAGCTATGTCTCTGTTCTTTATTGGATTGGTTTTACATTAGCATTTTTCCAGTCAACTGGTGTTAGTTACTCCTGTTTTGAGCAACTTTTAGGAGAGTTTTGTAACATCACTTGTTTCCTTAAGTACCACTGGTAGAATACAGTCAGTTCCTGGAGAGTTGTTTATCATATGTGCTTCTTTTACCTAACATGTATTTCTCTTGAATGCTGATATTTATTATTTATATTTTTACGTAGCCCTGGACATGTTGTCAGTTCGTGATAGAAGTATTCATAATTGTCTTAAGGTGGAGTTGTAATTATTTCTCATTACTCAAGCCATCAGTTGGCAACGTTGTTCCTTTCCAAACAGTGATTTGGATTGAACGGGACAGAACATATGGTAAGGCTTAGTCAAGAATGAATTAAAAATTCAAAAGAAATTACAAAGAATGTGCTTATGTTAAGTTTGTCAGTAGGCTTTACCTTAATAGAGGTCTTTTGTAAACTGAAAAAATGTGCCTGACATTTCAAATTTTAGTATTTTTTTTTCAAAAATCATTCAGCTTCTGAAAATCTAGAAACATCTAAGAATCATATACTTTCTCAAAACCTCAGGATTGCTGACCGATTGAATATTAACATTGTTGCATCGATCTCAGGTTTGATCATGTTCATGTGCTCCAAATAATCTCCAATAGTCTTCCTTTAGAACAGCACAGAGTCTGGGAACAGGTGTACAAACACTTCCACTGGAACTTGGGAAAGACCACGAGATTTTACTATTTCAAAAGGATAATTAAAGAGAAATACTGTACCCAGAATGGGGCTTTAGAATTTGAATGTTTTTTCATTTTTATAAAGTATATCTGGAAGGATCCAGTACTCTACAACAGACACCAAGAATTTATTGGCTTGTATCCTTACATAACATTCCACCTGGCTGAAGGTATAAACCATACAGGAAGTCTCTCTTGGAAAACTAGAGTAGAAGCAGTAAATCTGTAATATTTGCATTTCTTTACGAACCAGATGGTTATGATTAGCAAGGGTGAGGATTTGATCTTGGCTTCGGTATAAAGTAATGGGTAAGAATCTCATAAATCACTCCATGGGGCGAGGGCAGACAGAAAAGACGTTCATGTTATCACTTCATTCCGTGGCTTAGCGCTGCAGTATATCAGTCTACTTGTATCTTCGCGCGTTAGTCTGCTGAAATGGCACTTTTGGGTCTCTGGGAGGCAGCTACCGCCAGGAATATTTTACCTCTCAGGCGAAAGGAAAACGGTTCAGATCTGAAACTGAATATGCACTGGGCAGCGGGTTTGTCCTGCCCGTGTTACCTCAATTAACGTGAAATTAATTAACCAGTGTGGTTAAGTTCCGAAAGGAACTCGGGGAGTTTTTAACAGACCTTAACAGTTCTGATAAAGGCATGATTCCAGTACGTTCAGGGGTACACCCCAGATCTCTGTCTTGTGTAACTGCAGTATGACCCACTATCCCTTGGTGCCTGTGAGTCTCTCATCAAAGGGGCCGCGGAAAATCTGGCACTAATAATCCTTTACCTGCACAACAATATTTCACACTTTACACACACCAAGCGATGCCTTTTTTCCCCTCTTGCCGTACTGTAGTTACGTGCTCAGCTCCTCGCTTAAAATAAAACTGTAAAAACCTTTATGCTGCTATCTCATTTTCATTCAATCTTGTTTTAATTTAGTCAGCTCCGACAAACGAGCTGTAAATAGTTGTGGTGTGCTACACGTCTCATTGGCTAGATTGCAATTAATCAGGAAGTTATTAGGCGTTCCGGTGCATTATGTTTTTTTTTCCCTAGCATCTTTAACGTTTAGTAAATAATGAGCGAACAATTTGAAATGGCACCGTAAACACATATTTTATTTATTTCACATAAGACACAGTAAGACATACTCATTTTCTCCTTTACTGTTGTTGTCACTATACTATAGATCATTGAGTGTCTGTAAGGGTTGCTTAAAAAAAGAATCACTTCATTCCGTCTGTGTGCGAGTGTGAGAGAAAACTGTTTTCTATTCTGCATTATCCGGTTCGCCAGTTCAGTCGGGTTTTGTTTGTCTGAAGGGTTAAAGCCCCCCATGCAAGTTTAGAATAAACACAATGACAACTCACACTGTGTGTTTCAGCGGTTGTGTATCTGGCTGCTTTAGGTCTTGACTGCGTTCTCTGGCTGATCCTGATAGCCTGTGAAGAAAAAATGTTCATGTAGCGAATAGGAGAGCAGGAGGCGTGTTGGTATCACAGCACGGAGACTGACAGTTTCTAAATGACTGGTACTATATACAGTAAAACATTAACTCAGGCACTCATCGCACAATGGACACTTAAAAAGATCCCCCAAAAGCACAATTTCAGGTGGCAGATTTGACTTTGGAATGGATAAATGTGGCCAGCTAAAAACAACCAAAATAAACGACATCAAGGGTTTCAAAATGCCTGTGCCTGGGCGAGTGAGCAGACACACGATGACAGGAAGTAAACAGTGGTCCGGCAGAGAGGCCTTTAGAGAGCTGAGGAAAATGCCCATTGCCAGGGATTAATGGCGCGCAATGTGTGTTTTTACAGCTCGTATCGATCAAAAATAAAAAAAGAGCTCTGTTGATTTGGCCTTCAAGAACTGACAAATGTTTCACCCCTTTCTTCTGGGTACCCAGTTTAAGGTTCTGCAACTATGGAGGCTGGATCTGGGTGGGGACTGCTGGTCTTTTAGCATACATGCAGACATGTCCTGCAAACAACCTCAAATCTCCTTGTTAATTTGTAGAACACCTCATTCTTTACTTTTTTTATACATGCTTTTAGATAACTTGGGAGGTAACTTGGAGGTAACCCATTTTTCCTAAATAGCATACATTCTTCCCTTAACTTTTGCCATAATTAGATTTTTTTGGATTCATGTGGAAAATAACTTAACAACTGCGGTAATTCAAATATAGACGGATGTTCTAAGCCTTATTTGTTCTGAAACAAATTACGTAAAGTGTGTTTTTACTGAAAAAACTTAAACATGTTAATTAGTCTTTAATTCCGGACATCCAGTGCTTCCAGCTCTCAGTCCAGGGCTATGTCAACTGTACCAGAGAAGGTACTGTACAATAAAATGGCATTTGATCATCTGGTAACGGTTTTAAGTGCTTCTGAGGACTTTAAACATACCGTGTCAGTACTATTCCATGGCATTGGTGCTATTTCAAGTGTTTTCTAATGTGTCTGTGCAAGGGTCACAGGTAGTTCAGTGCAGGACTCAATCTCCTGATGTCACACAACACACATTTCATTCCTCTCCAAAGACCTGAACTGCGCAACACTGTTTACTTCAATGATAAAAACCCAGTTTAGTTTTTAAGGACCTAGCATGGGAATTTATCCATGAGATTAGGCTCTAGTCATTTGTTTGACCATAACTAGACAAGTCAAAGTTTCTTATCAGGTGTGGCATTTTCATTCCATTTGAGATATCCATATCAGGGGCTGTAAGAGAGCAAACATCTGTATTTGACATTCGGTTATAGTTAATTGCTTGTTAAACTTCTATTAACTACATGCGTCAGACACCAAGGAGTCTCTTGATAAAGCTGTCCATTAGTTGTTGTTTTTTTCTCCACTCACTTAATTACTGATAATAGAGCGCCCGTGACAGCTGCCCACATAGTTTGTGTCTGATCGGTAGGTCAGTAACATCTAACTGGAATTGCAAAGTTTAAAAGAAGTGCTGTTTGGTATTTCATGTTAACGGAGATCTTTGGAATACTGCGATCATTATTACATTGGCTTAAATAAATTGCTCAGCATACAAAAATGTCATCCAAGCTACCGTACTTAATGTTTGAAAAATAAAACTCAAACAAGATTGCTTTACATGTTGGGGTCCTGGAAAACCAGAGGGAAATGTGCTGCATTTTCTGACTCGTTGTGCGATTCATGCAGCATGTCGTGAAAACTCGAGAGAATAAGTCAACTTTCAGTCGGGGCTATTTTCAATTTATCTGACCTTAGGAAGTCTTAACTAAAATTAAATCGCCATTTTCCAACACTGAAATAAGTATTTGTTTTCACTCATTGCTTAATGGGTTTTAAAGAGTTACGGTATCTCTCATTCAGCTCCTGAGCAGTATGCTTTTTCCGTGTGTTTCTACTCTTGATTTATCATAAGTGATTGTATGGAGTATTTTTTAATCACAGGTAGTCGGGGACTGTGATCCTGTGATCGCAATGCAAATTAAGATTACACAATTTTTTTTGTTGTTTTTTTGGTCACAACAAACGCCTTGTCATTAAAAACAAACGCCTAGTCTTGTGTTGCAGTTAATTTTCTGTACTGAAATTACAGGAAAAGAAGTCAGGGGTTGCTTACCTTAACCTTTCCTGTGTGAATTGCCCGCTTGTTTCAGATTGCCATTCTGTTCCTGCCCGACTGAAACAGTCAAGTTTTACATGTATGACCTCTGACTTCTCTCTGTTTATGGTTCTGAAATGAGAAAAACTGTGACACTGAACCCTTTGCTTAAACTAGAACAGAGATATTCAGTGAAGTTTCAAATTTAGTGCCAAAAACCCAATTTTGAACTGATTATCAGCAGGACAACCACATTTTGTTTTGAGGACAATATTCAGAAAAGCAAATCTGGGAGGCGTGGTGCTTTTGTATTGAATTGTGTTTTTGTTTGTTTAGTCTTGTTTAAAGCTGTCATGCCGTTTGCTGACAAAGACAGTCATACACATTTATCCCGTTTTTGCAGACAGTTAATCTTGTTGAAGGGAAATAATATTTGAAGATAAAGTTATCAACTTTCAGGAGTGTCATTGACACACAGCGGGGGAAACAAATCAAACCTATAGTTGTTTTGTTTTTGTTTTTTGGGAGTTTCAGCTACTGTATGTAAATCCTAAAAAGCTGCCTAAAGGGAAAGCAAAAAAATATGACTGTAATAATTCTTTATCATATCAACTCTTATATCCTTGTTGATTATGCCAGGTGTCATCACCAGCTTTCATCCTTAGTCAGAGGTTGAGAAGATAATTCAGTCTGTCTTGCTTGCGATTGTGATAGAGAAGCCTTTGCCAGAAAAAAATGAGACATTTGCCGTCGCCGTTTCTTTATTGTTGAAGCTAAAAGCCAGACAGTAAATCCACTGCAGCTAAGTAAAGGTACTAAGCAGACAGTCAGTTGACAGAGAAAAATACAGGGTTCATGTGGAAATAATGACACGCTGCTGAACGGAGTTGGTAAATCATTTATAACTGGCATGCGCTTTTAGATGTTTCCGTAATTCAGCACCCCGCAGTTCAGTACACTGCACTTTATTGTGTGGATCACTGTCTCCCTCCAGAGGACAAATCGATATCTGCAGTATTATGTGGAAAGTCGCACTTCAACTGTGTTTTAAATGCCTCACGTGAATTTCCCCCTTTCAAGCTGGAGGACAACATATAGTCTTGCGATCAGCAATACCCTCATCTACACCTGGACAAAGATTTTCTTTCCTAAATTCACGTAGGTACTACTCACACAGTTGTTATTTCAGTGTTGGGTACAGGGAATGCAGGCTGGTTTGTATCTACAGAATGCGTAAACATTGATAACAAGGAAGAACAAGAAAAGCCCAATGCTGGTGATCTTTTTTCCTGCAAAACGTTTCCTCTCAATCGTTTTTTCAACAAAACTTTAGGAAGAACAGCAAACATCCTTCTTCAGGATGCTTGAAATCGTGCGCTTGCTGGCCATTTCCTCCCTAGGTGTCTGCTCTGAGGATGCGCTGTCACTGCCGAACAAACAGAGACAAGGTTCAGCAGCCACAGCCACAGAGGAGGGAGAGAGGAAGTATAGAGAACTGACAGTTTACAGCTGTTGTTCTCCAAAAGAAATTGCCCCCCCCACACATGTCCTCATCTACAGCCTCCATGAACCCCCAGCCTCGATGTCTTTGATCTAGTCCAGCTAGCACGCAGGCAGGCCCTGGGTCTCCTCGGGGGTGATTCCATTGTGGTGACAGTTCAGGAACTGAGGAAGTCCAGTCAGTGAGCTCCCATTCACTAGTGCCTCCTCTGCTTTGTTCTCCTGACTCTTTAATCATTTTCTGAAGCCAGTCTTGCCGAGAGGGGTGTAAGGAGGAAGAGAAGCGGCACAGCACAGCTGAGTTGAGCAAGTCTTACCCAAAACCCGAGCTTTCAGACTCAGAGCCTGTTACAGACATTTTACCCTTGTTTTGCGCTGGCCCACATCAAACAGAGAAAACCTGCTGAGCCCTCTGTGAATGAGGGCAACCGTTATCTCTCCATTCAGCAATTCAAAACCATTTAGTCTGAGTATGATAGGTATATTTTAGAAGTTATTGCAGTACGCTGTAGCACGTAATGAATATAATCTATAACACTAGAGCACAGAACTTCTGTAGTTCAATGTCCATTGTTTTCTACCTGTCCACCTGGCTGTGATTTTGCATGGCTTGAACATTTTTGGCTTTTTAGTGAACACTAAAAAGGATATTTATTTTTTTGGGGAAAAACATGCATTGTATTTTATTACGTCAGTGTAGTTAGCGAACCAAATTGAGATTGAAGTCTTCCCCTCTGGCTCCATTGCTGATTAACCAGATACTCTGTAGAGCTCATTTTGTTTCAATATTCTTATTTAATAATTGTGATAGCCCACTGCCAGGCTGATCTTATCTACAGGAAGTGAGGTTAATATACACCCAGTCTTGTTCCCTACAGCTTTTAATTGTCTGGCTCCAAACTGAAGGCAGCTGAGACCTGAGTTTCTTCGGGGCTATTCTCCAACATTTCGAAACTCTGGAATACGCGGTTATGATCCTCGGGACACAAGTTGGACCAGGTTATGTTACCCAGACACTGCTGTTTCTTATTAGCAACATGCTTAAAGCCTCTGGCTTATTTTCACCCATGGCACCAAAAGACATACAGTGTACCCCAATCTATTACTTCCCCTCCCCCATTTGCACCACCCCCAATCGCACACTACTGTATACTCTGTCTCACTCGCTGTCGAACCCCAGCAGGGAACTATTGTCACACCCTCTACTGCTACTCTGCCCTGTTCCTGGTTTCCTTGTGCTTTGCTTGTCCTTCCGGTTTGTCTTTGTGTGGGGCTATATATTTCCGGGTCACCCTTTCTTCCTCGCTTGGCATTGAGGGTTCGGATGTCCTGAGACCCGCCTAGCACCAGGTCGTCTCCTCCGCCGCCTGAGGACATCGTCTGACCTCCTGAGCCCGGGCTAACGCCGCTACGCATAGGGTCTTTATTGGTCTCCTGGCCATTCCATGGCATGCCTTCTGACATCCATGACAACTATTGCCTTTACCTAAGACAGGTGCTGTTCTACCTGTCCAGGACAATGAAGACTTGTGTAAGTTGTACAAAACAGATGTGGTTATCAACCCCTGCAGCCTCACCTCGGGGAAGAAGATGGAAGATCACAACTATTTTATTCCTTTGTTCTTGGCACCTGGAGTCATGTGAACAGGAGTCATGTGAACTAAAGTTTTCTGTGTGGAGGAAGATGTAAATCTCCCCTTGCTGCACCAATAAGCTTGAGACACTTGAACGATGCCACCACCCTTGGTCCAGGCGCACTTTGATTAAGAAGCATTATCACCCCTGTTTAAAAACCTGAAGTAATGTCCTACTGCACACAGCACTCCTGAATTAATAGTCTGCCAGGACATACAAGAAAAGCTTAATTTCCGACAGGCAGTGTCTCCTGACTTCGCTCCTCCATCCCTGACCCAGTTTATTTGCAGCAGAGGGCTGAAGCACTTGTAGGAACACACACTCTCATCAACCAACCAATCAATCAATCAGTCTTTTATTTGCCACAGCGCCTTTCATAAACTTATTGTTGAAACACTAAGGGTGTTGGAATATTATGTGATGTCAGAAGTTTATTCTATTACGCTGATTATAGTATCCATTGTAAAAAAATATCATCTTAAAGTACCAAAAGAAAGCAACCAGAATAAATAATAACTAACCGCTATGGTGTCTTTTCTTTCTCCATCCAGAGTTCGTGTCTATGCCCCTGTGCAGGGCTTTGGCTGTGTTGGGATGAGAAAATGCTCCAGTCGCTCAGCTGTCTTGCCAGCCCTGTCTGCCCCCCCTGCTCCTGAATACATAAATAAACGGTTCTCAATACCTCTCCAGACTTCAAGTTAAGGCTCTTTCAGAAGGTTAAAAATAAACACTCTGGCAAAACTGGGCAGGGAAGGCATTTAGGTGAGTGGATTAGCTGCTGTTTGAAGTCTTGAGAGCTCCTGTGCTTTGGGACATCTTTGTTGTCAGTGTAAGCCCCGTTTTTACATTTTAATTTGTTTGGGATGTTTATTTTGATGATCCTAAAATTCCCACTCCCCATGACTATTCTATGCTGTGGAGCCAAGGAAAAAGAACACAATTTTTTTTAAAAAGAAACCTCTAACTTGTTATCAAATTAGATTGGAAAGCGGGGGGTTGTGTTAAATGTTGTTGTGAATGTCTGTGTGTTGTCTTGTGTGTGTGTGTGTGTGTGGGGGGGGGTATCCACTGTGGATAACAAAATTATGGTAACTTAACACTTAGTTAAATAACACCTTTTGCTCCACAGTTTTCAGTGTGTACACACACAGTGATTTCCTGACCCATTAAAGCTTATTCCAGTCAGTCAGATCAAGCTTCAAGAACCTGAATCAAAGAGAGGATATCAGAACTCATGCTATTTAATTTGACAGTTAAAATCTGTATGATCTGCAAGAGCCTGTGATAAATAAGCTGCACTGGTGGAAGATTAAGACTTTTTGTTGCAATATGACAACCGAACACTAAGAAATTCAAATAAGAAATTCTGTCCTTGAGAAAGTTTTTTTTAAGAAGTTTCATTTGCTTGGCACTTCTGGCAGATGGATTTAGTCAAGACTAATTCCACGGCAGCAAATTGCAAAGATTGTAGAAAAATACAATGTGTCAGCAAATGTGAAGCTTCTTCAAGTGTATGTATTAATTATTAATAGCATTCAAGTAGGAAGCGGAGTCAGAGTGCACGTTGCAAACAAAGAAGTAGAATTTGTTCAGTTAATTCCACAGCCTAAACTTTTTTTCTCTCTTTTTATCATAGAATTAATCTCTACTTTCTTCCTTTGCATCTTGCATTCTGATGCAAATCCCCATTAATAATTAATTCCAAGTATATCGCACTGGCCATGCTAAAGGGTCCCAAAGCACTTTACACACAGTACAGGAGGCAACCCTCTTCCTCCACCACTGAGGTGCAGCCCCATCTGGATCAGTAGTCATTCTGCACAGCAGATCAAGTGGAGGAGAGAGAAATTGCTTCAGCAGTTTAATTTACGGGAAATTTTAGGCAAGCCAAGCTCGTACTATATGCTGAGGTTAACATCCCTAGACTTGGGATCTTTGATGACCAAATAGTTAGTAGTTTGATTTAATGTCTCATCCAACTACTGTGCTAATATGTGTACTACTACCTTGACTTGGCAGACATGGTATTATAGCATAGCATGCCTTACTGTACATGATCAAAATTCACTTGAACTGCACACACTTGAATGTGTTTAATATTAACTGGTACAGTAAATAAGCAGACTGAAGTGAAAAACGTGCCTTTAAATTTGCATGCAGTTTATGCTTTTTTCTAGTACTTGTATATTATTTTCTTTTAGAGCCTGCGTTCATTTTTTTCTTAATTAATTTAGCCATTTTTAATTTCCCCGCCTGCCCTGTAGCCTCACACCTCTTCTGTTTCATGAACCAGACTTCCCTGTCTTCCCATAGCTCAATTGACATCAAAAGGGCATTTAGCAGTTTTCTCTTAGAACTTTCCCTGTACCTTTGCTTTGATTTGATGCTCGTTATTTCTCTCTGGTGTCTCTGGTGCTGACCACCCCCAGCCGAGTTGCTGCTATACCTGAGGACACAATGTAGAAAGACACAATTGTCTTTCTTCAAGCTCTTTGACCGGGGAGAGGGGTACTGATGGTATAAAGCATTGTATCCTCCTTCAGACACAGCCAGTGCCCAGGAATAAAGAGGAGCCGTAAACCTCAATTTTCTGCAGATTAAATCAAATTAGCACACCGCTGCTCCTGAAAAGGGAATGTCTTTGGGGATGTTTTCTCCTGAGCCTCTCCCCCCATTGCACACAGCTGTTATTTTAGAGAGCATTTAAATCTCCTCGTTCCTAATGATGGCCCTGGGCTAGGAGTTTTGGCAGCAGGTGGCAGGTTGAATGGTTTCACTGGAGAGTGGAGAAGCTTCCAGCCGCAAAGACACTGATAACCTCTGAGTTCCTGCTGGGTGGCTGTAGTAGCGGTAAGGACCTTTCCATCCACTGAGCCAGGACAAGCACTGGCTTTTAATTGCTCTGGGATACCCCTGTCATTGTCTCTTCAGAAGGGCATCAGGCAGAACCTGCACTGATGGAGGTGATGCACTTGAAGTATCAGTGGCTAGTTAATGTGCAGTGCTGCTGCAGATTCTTCCATGCTGGGAAGGCTTTTCGTCACAGGTCGTCCAATCGGTGAAGCTCCAACAGGCCAACTTTCAGAGCCTTTTGCTTCACGTTTCTTGAAACTCTTCAAACTGAACCAATTTTAATTCCTAAAATCAATTTTAATTGAAAAGGCTTAATCCTGGTTATTTTCAGCACCTATTGTGTCTCCAGCTTGACTGCTGTCTTCATATTTCTTTCCTTGCTTTCATCGAATTAGGAGAGAATTCTGCTCTCAAGGGAAACTTTGTAAATACTCCTGTGAGTCTCCAAAAAGCTCCACAGGCCAGGGATTTCACCTGTTTCTAGCTCTTGGGACTTAAATCACTCACTGAAATCCTGCAAAGGCAATGAAATCGCTTATAACCGAATGTTTCATTCTGTGTTTTCTCCTGCCAAATTTTATATGGTTCCAAGCTGTAAAACCTGAATTCTTTCAGAATGTCAGTTCTTCTGGCAGAACTGCGTGCCTTTTATTTCTTTCTAAATATGAATAATTCTGTTTATGAGAGCGCTTTTTTTTCCGAAGGGGTGACTAAACAGATCATTGCCTTAGTAAATTGAGTGTTTTATTATATATAAAAAATCCTAAATCCACAAGGCTAATAAATCCCACAGTGACTAGATCTTGGAACGGTACAATAAGAACGGCATTGTCTCCTTTGCTGAATACAACGCTTAAGAGTGTTATTTAGATCATTTGCTCAGGGAAAAATGTTCTTTTCTTAGCAATCTGGATGCTAGAGGATGCTGTTTTATCAGCAATAAAACAGAGGATTTTTCAAGGGGGAAAGACCCTTAGAAGTTCTTAAAAGATCATCCCCCATTACAGAAACTAATCACTTTAGCCCACTTGCGACTTTATTCTTAATCCCCGTCGAGTTCTTAGGGAGTGAAAATTGTCAAGTACTTTGTTCTGTTCTGTAAACAATTACACACTATCAATGGATACATTAAGGAGAAAAATAGCAAAACAACAGCCCTTCAGGAAGCAGAGAGCCTGAGCCGATTTGTTGGCCCTGTTTCTCCTCATTGTGTCACATGTATAATAAACTTTGGTATAATCTGACCTGTGAAATGACCACAAATTATACTATAACATGGGAGACTATGCTGTTCAATTAACATTACTTTTTCCAGATGTCATTTTGAGAATTAATTAAGTTGTATGTTCATGTATTAAATTACAGAGATTTGGAAACAGGTATTGGAAACCTCATTCAGCTCTAACATACAACAATCTATGTTCCATCCAATTTTCATTCTGAAAAGAAATTCATGGGGTTCATTGGAATACACTGTGACTAACAGAGCTATGAAAATGTTTTATTTGTGCGACAATTTTAATCCAGCTTTCCTTAGGTTTCCCTATCTGATGCAATAACTGTACCCTTTACAGTATATTATATGGTACATTCATAAAATAATGTCTAGGCCTGGCTGTGTAGTGCCAAAAATTAATTAAACTTAAAAAGCATTAATGGATCTAAAGCTGTTTTATCTGACTGACCAATATCACACACTGATAATAATAAATCACCCTTACATTTTTATTGGCATCCTGATTCGGCTCTTTTCCCGTTCTCATTCGCTCTTGAACAGAATCAGTAAAACAAAGTCATAATTTCAGCATCACATAAGTCAGCCTCCGACGTGCGCGGATGACATGATCGCTGGAAATAAATCAAAGAAATGCGTGGTTCATGGACGGGCAGGCAGCACTTTAACCTTTTATAAATGTCCAAGTTCACAAACATGGAGGAAGATGTTCTACCTTCTCTTGACATTCTTTTACTCCAATTAGCGGAAATGCGGGCGGTTTATAAGGAAAGGGAGACACGCAACATATACGACATGAAGCGAAACAGAGACAGCTAGTCGCATCAGCGGAGTGAAGTGTCTATAAAGCATACAGCCCCAGGTTCAAAGGTCTCGGGGCGTTTCGAAATACTACGATAAGTGCAAAGTGTTTATAACAGTAAGTGAAATGTTTAATAATGATAGAGGAAGCAGCTGCTTTTCATCCATCGATCAACACAGATGGACAAACCTGCGCCTTAGTTTCTCTTTTACAGAGAGTTCAGTCTCATAGAGACTCAGAGCGTGCATAATGGCAGGTTAACGGGTTTTGCTCCGAATATCAGTTGGTTTCTTTCGACAGGTTTATAGACGGAAAAAAAAAGTTTCGTTTCTCCAATGGAAAACTAATAAACGTGTCCATTCGTCTCTAACGCAATATTTAGTGATTGGCCAGTTTTGAGTTAATGGAGTTTTACTTCCACCGTGTGGTAACTGGAAGTATCACAGTGCTGGTTCATCTGTGGAAAAAAAAACCATTCATCCTTAAAAAAACGGCGGTTCGGCCTTTAACGAAAGAAAAAAAAATAAACAGACGGACTTCTTTTTTGGAACAATGGGGAAACTTCTTTTATGGATCGTGGAATTTGTTTGCAAAGACACATGTACAAAATGACATTTATACTGATGTTGCCAGTCAATATACTTTTACATTCGAATAGAAAGTTCATTTCTGTTTCTGTCTTCCTATAGAATTATTATTTTGATTTGCCACTAATGCCACTCGAGGCTTTATAAAAGCAGCTGTTGAGTAATCACATGATTGGCGAAACACATGTCCTATTAAGGATTCACTTTGCGTTTTCTCATTCCTTTTCTAGTCCGGCCAGGACCTTGTCTGGCACCAGTAAAGCCAGTTCTGAAAGTGGCAGGCCGACTCATATGTAGCTATCGTGCCCCAGCTCGGGGGCAAACACCTGTCCTTCCTTGAGGAAGTCGCCAATAGGCAGCCCCTTGACTTTCATGAGCCAGGCTCTCTTGCTCTGCTTGTCCCTGTCACTGGCTTCCTGCGAGAGGGCCGCCTCATGCTGCCGGGCCTGATTCTGCTGGCTCTGCTGCCTCTGCGTGAACGTCTGCAGCCTGAAACCGCTGTGCTCCCTGAACGGGTCCACGGGGTAGTGTTTGCTGGGGCCGGATTCCGCGGGGCACTGCTCGAACCTCACGTGTCTCTGCGGGCTGGAGCAGGGCGTACCCAGCAGCATCCTCTGCATCCTCGGGGCGCCCCGCTCCGCTGTGGCGCTGAGGCTGCCCGCCTGGCGGGCGCCAGCGCTGCCCGAGGTCTGCGGCCTCCTCCTGCCCGTCTCGAGTGCCCCAGCTTCCCCCGGGCCTGTGCCCGTCTGTGGCCGCACCACCGCGGGTCTGGGGAGGCTGGACCTGACGCTGTGCCCATGAAGAGAGTGTCTGAGCTTCAGATCCAGCCCTTTGCTCACCAGCGGAGTGTAGATCTTTGTCACCTCCCGGAAGCGAACCGGAGCACTGCGGGTGTCCGTTGTTTTTGGCTGCGGAGCCTTCTGGGATATCGTTGCTTCAGATTCATGCCCTGCTGTCTGGGGGGCAGGAGGGGAACCCCAGGCGTCTCGGACCCGGGCATTGAGCACCGTGTTGCTGCTGGTTGGGTCTGACCTCTGGGCCTGATGAGCCGTGCCGAGCGCCAGAAGGAGGTGCTCAGGGCTGATGGGGTGATGCAGGCCTCTCTGCTTCACCTGCTGCAGCACAGACTGCTCGCTCCTGCTCAGGGCCAGCTGGGCCTCCGCGCCACCTCCGCTGGATCGCTTTCCTAGCAAGAGCCAACACAAGAGCTCAAAGAGTTTTTTTAAAGGACCAAAGTCAGATATGTTGATATTTTGTAAGAGAGAGAAAAAAAAGTGTGACATTTAAAATCAAGGACGTAGGTCTAGACCCATTTTTCTGCTTTAAAAAAAAAATCCTAATTTTACTGCATGCACTTGCACAAGTCTGCCCACACACATCCAGGGAAGTCCTCAGAATTCAAGATTTTGAGCGGCTTAGTTTCATTTGGACTTTCTTAATAGTTTCTCACAGCTGAGGAAATCCATTGTTTCCAGAAGCTGACACTACAGTAACCCCACCCAACTGAAGAGCAAAAATATACAATGCACAGTTTCTTAAAAGATGTTTTCTACCAGCCAGAAGCGGTCTGTTACTGACAGAGGTACCCTGGCAGGCTGGGTGAATGACCCGGCCTACCTGAACTGGCAGTGCTGTGTCTCTTTGGTGTCCGGCTAGCCCTGCTGCCAGTCTCAGGGCTCCTGCCACTGACAGGCCTCCCAGGCTCCAAAGCAGAGGGCGGCTTGGCGATGAACTCCGGCTGCAGGTCGATGTAGGCCGTGCTCCGGCGGTAGCTCGGAAGCTCACTCCATTTCGCAGGCCTCATAGACTCCCGCTGGACACCTGCACACACACAACCACACACAGGAATGGGCGCCCTTTACTTTTCTTTTTCCAGATCACTTTCTGAACGCAAAGAATGAAAAAGGTTTGAAACTAGAAGCGTAGCAATGTCCTGTTAGGGACTGGGGGAAGAAGGACGAGCTCAGAGCTCAGAGCTCAGAGACAGGAGTGATCAGGCCCAACGGGAGGGGCAGGGGCGTACTGTGTGCCGCGTGCATGCTCTGGCTGGACAGGCTGCGGGCATGGTGAGACAGGCCACTGCCTGGGCCTTCCCTGTCCTCCGCCTGTCGGTGGTAGATCTTCCTGTTCGTGGACCCCACCCTCTTCATGCGCTGGGCACGGACGTAAGGGTAGGGGTGTTTCCTCAGGGCGGAGCCTCTGGGCCAGGTCCGGTCCTTATCCTTCCCAGCGTCCGACTCTCCCTCTGCTGTGAGGGAGTAGTCCCACTTTACTTCCGCAAACTGGAAGAGCAGCACACTGGCCTTCGTGTTCATCACAATGCTGAAAGGACGAGCAGGAAGAGAGATCACCATCACTGATCTGCAGACAGGCCAGCTGGCAAACCCCATCTGAGTCCCATTATACCTAAATACATGCAGATGTAACCCAGCAAGGCTGTTAACAGTGAGACTGCTTTAAAAGAATCGAATTTAATGCTTTAAAGATGGACTTGCTCATAAATGATCTGTGTAAAAGTTTGCTGTGTTGTACATGTGCACTGATATGTGGATCATAATTTATGTTAATAGAAACCCAAGCTGTAAACAGTAGGTGTACAATTTAAATCTGCTTAAACAGGGTAAGAGTTTATCATTCGTTATAAAAATGCATGTCATGGGACTTCTGGTGAGACAGCCTTTTAAAAGGAATAGGGAGTGAAGAACAACCTGTCGTGAAATGCTGAGGCCAGAAAGAGAAAGCTGATATTTCTGTCATTCCTTGGCTCCTCGGCTAAATCTGAAAGCCGCGGCGAGCTCTCCAGCGAGCGAGTGGGAAAGACGTGAGGGGTCTAGCAGTGCACCGGACCTGTTGCTGTGGATGTCGAGGGAGAGGACGGGGCTCTGCCGGCTGTTGGCCTTGATCACCCGCAGGCAGTCGCCCGTCAGGAAGTTGAAGACCCGGATCTTGCCGTCTGCACAGCCGCTGACAACCCGCAGGTAGAGGAACGCCAGACACTGCACCTCCCTGCAATACACCATCGCATACTCCTGGTGAGCGCCACCTGCATCAGAAAGGGGATACAGCCCCAGACTGAAGGAGAAGTCTATAAGTTGAAAGCAAGCCCAAAATTATATAGCTATTGCCAGCAGCTAAATCACCCACCAACTCACAACTGGCAGTAGTGTGAGCCTAGCCAGTACCTGAATGGGAGACCTCCGGGGTCAGTAGGGGGCGCTCACCTTGTGGTCTGTGTGGATCCTAATTCCCCAGTATAGTGATGGGGACACTATACCGTAAGAAGGCTCAGTCCTTTGAATGAGACAGAAAACCAAGGTTCTTCATTGCTCTGTTCTCCCCCCCACTGATAGCTGATGTGTGGTGAGAGTTCTGGTGCACCTTGGCTGGTGTCACACTATCCAGGTGGCGCTGCACACTGGTGGTGGAGGGGATCCCCATTACCTGTAAAGCACTTTGAGTGGAGTGTCCAGAAACATGCTATAGAAGTGTAAGCAATTATTATTATTATGGCTGTCTGAATTAGTTCTTCAAAATCCCTAGAATCCTCACTTATTATACAGTTTTACACAAAACTGTTTTTTTTCCCATCCTTGTGTGTGGCCTAAAACCCAGTGGCTTCTGCCAGCTTGTGTTGAATTTTGAAGAGGAGAGATTTGGGCTGTCCCCAGGTGTTTTAAATAGAGAAAACAAAGCTAGTTCCTGGCCATTTAGAGCCAATCTGAAGTGAATTGGCAGTGTCATACTCACTTTGGGTGCCTGAAAGCCATAAGGCACCTCTGGAACTCTTTGTTCATGCTCCAGGCCATGATGTAGCCGTCTGACCCCCCAGACAGGATGTGCCACTGATCAAAGAACAAGCACTTCACTGCACCCTGGTGGCCCTCCACAGTCTGGAACAAGGAAGCCCCATTAGACAGTGCTCTATTTCCTGTGAAATAACACTCAACAGCAGCCTAGTGTAGAAAAGCAGAGCGAAAGTGTGCTGATAGGCACAGCCAGTCATGGCAAAAAGGTACAACACAACTACTAAGATAAGATAAGATCACTGTATTGGCCATATACAATTTCTTGTATTAGGAATTTGTCTTTTCGCATACCCCAGCTTGCTCTCCATGAGACACACAGACAGGGAGAGAAGCTTAGGCTCAGAGCACAGGGTCAGGCATTTATACTGCACCCCTGGAGCAGTTGGGGTTAAGGGCCTTGCTCAGGGGCCCAGCGGAGTAGAATTCCTCTGCTGGCCACGAGATACAAACCTGCAACCTTCCAGCCACAGGCCCTGTTTACTGTGCAACCGAAAGCAAAGGTTGATGCTTAAAGAGGTGTTAGTGGGGCCAGTAGGGGGCGCTGGTCTTTGTGGGTCCGAGTATAGTGATGGGGACACAGTATTGTAAAAAAAGCCACCGTCCTTTGGACGAGACATAAAACTGAGGTCCTGACTCTCTCTGGATATTAAAAAATCTGGGGCGTTTCTCGAAAAGAGTATGGGTGTAACCCCGGCGTCCTGGCAAAATTTCCCCTCTGGCCTTTACCAATCATGGCCTCCTAATAACCCCCCTCTCTGAACTGGCTTCATCACTCTGCTCTCCTCCCCACTGAGAGCTGATGTGTGGGGACAGTACTGTCACATCCTCCATGTAGGGCCTGCACACTGGTGGTGGTGGAGGGGATCCCCATTACCTGTACAGCACTTTGAGTGGAGTGTCCAGAAAAGCGCTGTAGAAGTGTGAGGAATTATTAGTGTTTTCTCCCGCAGTGCTCATTCACAGGTCTGTACCTTCATCAGACAGCCGGTCTCGATGTGCCAGACCTTGACCAGGCCCTTTCTGCAGCCACTAACCACGTAGCTCTTATCAATCTTCACACACAGGATGGGGTCCTGGTGCTTGAACTTCAGCTTTGTGAAATTTTTCCCAGTCAGCAAGTTCCACACTGCATTAGAAAAATAAATCAACACAAAAAGGACAGATGAGCAGATATGGGATTGAAGAGAGGGGTAATTAAATCCACACCCCTCAATGAAATTTATGTAGAGTGTCCTTTCAGGTAGTTTTGCATCAAAAAGCCAAGAGGGTCAACTATGATCTATGTTTTGTTTGACCTTGGACAAACTTACCTTTGCTAAACAAACACGTACTGTACATTAGATTAGATGTAGCATTAGATGTGCAAAATAAAAGCTTGACTATTACGGCTGTGGTGGATGAATTCTGAAGCTAGCCTTTTCCACAGGGCTCTAATAAGGCCTTAGGACTATAAAATTCAACCGTAAATCGAGAGGGAAAAAACAAAAGGCTGTTATTGTCATTTTAAAAATGTGTGTCTTATCTGCATTTTCTTTGGGGCATACTTAGAAAACAGTTGGTTCATTGTGCTATGTGCTCAAGCTAAATAAAAGTAGTCACTGGTTTGTTCAAAGGAAAGAGACTAGAAGGCTGGAAAAACTAAATAGTTCTGTACTTTGTCCTGCACAAGTCGGAGTTTCTCTCACCATAAGTGAAATATGTTTTCTCTTTAAGCCTTGAATGTGTGGTAAGAGCCTATGAGGCCGCTATACCTTCAGAATAAAAAAACCGAGCACTAACAGCTGTGAAAAAAGAAATTTGTTTGTCTGACCTTTGACCTTGCAGTCTTTGGCCCCAGAAACCAGTCTGTTTCCATGTAAATCAAGGCAACTTATTGTCCCTAAGTGGCCACGGAAAATCTTCATACAGGCTCCAGTCTGTAAATTCCAGCATCTGCCAGGAAAACCGTGAGAAACCGCCTTTAAGTGAGAAACTGAATACAAATGCAGAACTGAGACATGAAATGACACTAGAGACACCGGCTTTCCCTGGCACATGGTGTGGCTAATTATCCTTGTGAATGTAATTTAACTGTTTTGAAAAAGCAAGTACAAAATATTGAACATGGGATTCCAAGCCGGCTGTAGGAAAGGCACATCTACCCACATTTCCCCTCAGAGCAGCAGAGATTCAGAAATCTCAGAAATGTGTGGTGAGCGTTCTGGCGCACTATGGCTGCCGTCGCATCATCCAGGTGGGGCTGCACACTGGTGGTGGTGGAGGGGAGTCCCCATTACCTGTAAAGCGCTTTGAGTGGAGTGTCCAGAAAAGCGCTATATAAGTGCAAGCAATTATTATTATTATTATTATTATTATTATGCCAGATCACTATAAGCCGTTCTTGGGATAAAGCCGAGCACACTTCAGGCTCTCTTGCAGCAGCTGGTACTGTACCTCCACAGGCAATCGCTTGCGTTTTAGAGACAGGTGTGCATACCTGATACTCAGATCATAACTGGCACTGATCACAAAGCCTCTCTCTTCACACAGCAGCACAGCCCGGATGCTCCCCGCATGGCCGTGAATGAGAGGAGGCACCTCCTTGCCGTTCGCCAGATCCAGCAGGCGGACCTGCCTGTCCTTTGAGCCGATGGCCACCATCTTCCCTCCATTGTAGTGCGCCACCCTGCTTGAATCTTCACTGTGAACCCAAGGGTACCCAGTCAGTTTGTGAGAGAGGGGAATACAATCAGCTTTTATGGCCGGTGACCTCTGAAATGGAATTGTGGGACTGCAATAAAAAAACAGCGCCATAGAATGGGGGTACTTGAGACATGTAGGTGGAATCAAGCTGGGAGTCACTTGTAATGGGCGGCAGTATGTGAACCTCCTCCAGCTGACCTACTCCAGCAGTTTGACTTTGTCTCAAGTAACCCAAAACCAAATGGAGAACACTCCCCGAGTCTACAGTAATCTTCATCTTATATTCAGATGGAGTAACCAAAGCAAAATTCAAATTGTAAATCTACCACCTACTTCTCATTCAATACAAGGATGTTGTATGTCCCACAGTAAACATTTCTTTCTTCCATTTGGATGGTTTTGGTTTCAACCCCCACATAAGCAGCTTCTACACTTCTGTCCTGCAGAGCAAAGATGAGGAACAGTGAAGTTAACCTGACTTTGGCTAAATATTGCATGGTCATTGTATTAAAAAATCAGAGCTAAGAAGATGAAAGAAAGCAATGCTATACCTTTGGTTTCATTTTATTACTACTGTCTTGAAAAGGCATGGTGAGCTTTTCTTCCTGTGTCATTGGAACAGGGATATCCCGGATTTTAGCATAGACAGGGCTGACCCCTGACGAAGACGTGCCCTACACCAGAAAACAGAAAGTAACTAGGGTTATCAAAAATCAAATGTCATTTTAAAAGCAGATGCAGATCACAGTGAAATATATACAGCATATACAAATATCAAATTAATTTCTCAGTTTGAGTATTTTTTCAACAAGGGGTGATATTCAAAGAGAAATATTTTATTGTATATCTTTCTTAAATTCTTAGGCAACCCTTAACAGAATTTAAAAAAAAAAGTAAAAAAAAAACTTTTCCCTTCAATAAAAGTGGGGAACGCAAAGATAAGAAAAATAAATCTAGGACGTTTATTGCAGTGTATATCTGCAAAATCACTTTAAAAGAGTGCAACAACATGACTGTTGACTGTACCTGCAGGATCATGGCTTGATTCTCCACTGTCCTACGGACAAGCACCTCTTTCTGTATTTCTTCTGCAAGATATCGCCAGTGCTGAGACACAAACAGGCAATTCACCAGAGAATTGTTATCCAGAAGCCCTGGAAGAGACAGCACACACAATCAAACCATGATGATATGAAAGAAGGCCAGTAATAATACTGTATACCAGTTTTGGCCCAGATGCAATGCTATAAAGATAAAAGAATTACTGTACATTCCCTAATGGTGAAAGATGTCACAGCTCTATATAAAGAAAGGGGTGCTACTACAGAATTCACTGCACTCACCTCAGTGCACTGCTGCCTAAATGAACACACAATGGATGACACGTTTGCTTAGTTACAATCACTTTGTGCTGTCATAGACTGCTTTATTTTTTTTTAATCAATTTCACTCTGCAGAGACACATTTATATATTTTCTGACTTACAAAATTCAAGGCCTTAAGACATTGTAAAAACCTAGTTTTGTTTGTAGTCTTAAAACAGAGCTGGACATGAAAGGTAATCAGTGGTTTGTTGTAGACATCAGTGATTAAGGAAGGCTAAAACAGAGTAGTCAGTATCTTGAATTAATGTTGCTATACAGCACTGTTCTCTCTGACAATTTCAAGCTAAAAATAACAGAAAACTAGCATTTTTGGAAAACACTTTTACTGTATATATTTTTTCCAAACATTACATGACTGGGAGGCCCTACCTGAGTATTGATTGTAAGCATGAATGTGGCAGAGTCAGTGACAGCTTTGATTCAGCACTAAAACTCACTTACTTTATTTTACAGCTCAGTTTTGCAGTGCAAGTTAAATCCTACACAAACACTAGCTAGTATTACTAATATTCTGTATGGATGTATTTTCTCAACATGTACTCAACCAGAATATGTCCTCCTGCCACGTAGTCACTCAGTTACTTTGTTAAACTTTCCAATGTCAGTCATCAACCCTAAAACAGGATGATAACATTAGACCCAAGAGCAAACCTGCGCTGAAGAATACTTGTGTGTAATACCTTGTCTGGTTGCTAGGCTGTGGTGTTTGTAACCACTGCTGAGTGAAAACCTCAGAAACCACTTGCAGGAAGTGTTTTTGTAGGGCAAGGGTGGAAAGGGGACTAATAATTTACTGTCAGATCATCACCATTACATTGTTTGTTATTCCTGTTTGGATAGTGATGTCTCTTTAGGGGGAATCGTGGACAGTTAAGTGATATTCCAGCACTGACAGAAAGGGACTGCACTTACTACTTGGCAAGTTAAAATTGCAGGCCAGATAGACTGGGGTTCACAGAAGTTATATCTGCACCCTTTCTTCGGTAAATCCTGAATACTGACATCAATGTGTTCTGGATATCAATTCCTTGACAAAAGCATGATTAAAAAAATCAAAGGTGGCTTGTTTACTTATTTTGTATGAATGTTTTTGTGCTATTATTGTTGTTAGTAGTAGTGTGAGCAGTATTATAGCAAGATACATAATGACTTTTTATCGACGATACAGCTATGATTTTTCCAGCCAAGGAGCTGTACTGAGTAAGTGAGCACGTGCTCGGCTGTCCCACGCCCCAGCTCTCACCGAGGATGTGCTTGGCCAGGTGGACAGGGAGCCTGCGGATGAAGTCCCTGTAGTGGCCGACCCCCGACAGCGACTGGGAGGAGCTGGGGAGGGTCACGAGAGCAGGATCATCCGACGATACTGACTGGTCCTCATCACTCTCCAGGAAACGGCCAGGGCTGTGACTCTCCTCCTCCTCTCCTGTGCAGGGACTCTGCTCCAGCGGCCCGCTCTCAGCTGAAGGCGACGGGGGAAGAGAAGGGCTTCAGTCGGCACGGAGGCTGTGAGTGGCACACTGCACTGCTGCAGCGATCCGGGCGGCAGTGCCATCTACACTCCAACCACAGCCTTTGAAAGACCTTAACCAGTATCATGTTGACATAGACATTTAGAAACAGGCTATAGCACAGGCATTATTAAAATTAAATAAAGTTTTATTCAACTCTAGTTGCTGAAGGACAGAGATTTATTAAATACACTCTTCTGAAATTAAAGATCAGAGTGACCTTTTACTTTGAATTTATAAATATATACAGAATTTATAATATATATAGTACTACTCAAAGTATATTACATTCTGTTTGTCTACAGGATCTGATGTATTTGCTTAGGAAAATCTATTATAACTTTGTGCTGTATATGACATTTTTCCATGACTTGACGATGCATATGACATGCATTTACTTTACTGTACTTTGCCATTTGACAATTTCATATCATAGTGCACTGATTCCCAGCTCTGATCCTAGAGAATCACTGTGTGTTAGATTGTTTTTTTGTGCTTCTTAATCACAGACTAATTGATTCCAACTTTACACTTGGGGGTTTGTTTTCAGCTCTTAAAAGATCAAATGGGATTTGCAATCAGTATAAACCCTGTACCAATTTCAGAGTTTAAGAACTGCCCTCGTTGAGGTGTGCCCTCTGAGATGTAACCCATTGGACCTCCGCAGAAGGAAACACTGCTCGCTGTGGGAGTGTCTGATGCAGTGTAATTCTCACCTGTCTCCTTCATCACAGACTGATCAACTAGTAGAACCTGTTTAGTCAGAGATAATGGCGAGAAAGCTTAGGAAAGGCTGTGGAGAGTTCTGTGTGCTGAAGTTGTAAAAACAACTAAAATGTTTGATACTCAGGACTAACCGAAGAACTTCAAGAAACAAGTTAAGTAAATGTGTAAACAGACACTTAAGTCAATCAATGAAGCCATCAATTAGCACTAGAGACTTAGACCCCTGTTGAAAGGGAAACCAGTAGACTGTGTTCCTCCAGGACCAGGATTTTGGAAGCACTGGTACAGTGTTTTTTCTAGGGGATGTGCATTGCCTTGCATTAACATTTCCAAGAGTTTTACTCTGGGTCATTTATTGGTTCATTCGTCTTGGCACTCACAAGGCTCTGGGTCTCTGTCTTCCAGGGTCTCCACAGGAGCCAAGGCCCAGACGCTGGTGTGTGTTTCCATGGTGACGGGCTCGTAACCCGAACTGGCCTGGATCAGGAGCTCCAGCTCGGGATGATCCTCGGACCTGAAAGAGTAATGGGATTCTGGGATTGAAGAGGAATCATCCTCCAGGTCTTCCAGGACTGAAACCACAAGAAGAGACAAAGAAGACACAAAGATTATTTATTCCAGGAGACAGTTCAATGACGATTCCTGCAACACAAGGTAAATTATAGAGTAACTGGAAACAGGAAGCAGTTGATATCCCAAAATGACTTACTTTTTCCTTCATTTAATGTCCTTCTAATAACAATAATTCATTACATTTATATAGCGTTTTTCTGGACACTCCATTCAAAGTGCTTTAACAGGTAATGAGGACTCCCCTCCACTACCAATGTGCAGCCCCACCTGGATGATGCGACAGCAGCCAAAGTGCTCCAATACGCTCACCCCACACCAGCTCTCAGTGGGGAGGAGAGCAGAGTGATGAAGCCAGTTCAGAGATGGGGATTATTAAGAGCCAATGATTGGTAAAGGCCAGAGGGAAATTTGGCCAAGGCACCAGGAGTAACACCTCTATTATTTTTGTCCTGGGATTTTTAATGACCACAGAGAGTCAGGACCCCGGTTTTACGTCTCATCCGAAGGACGACGCTGTTTTTACAGTATAGTGTCCCTTAGTATAGTGGCCTTAAACAACCTTAGCTTTCCCAGGAGGTCCTCCATCCTGGTACTGGCCAGGCTCACTCCTGCTGAGCTTCAGAGGGCTACTAGGTGTGACTTCCAGGGTGATACAGATGTATCTCTCCCTGTCTTGAGCATTAGAAACCAAGTGTGTCAATTTCGCAGGAGTCAAGATCTTTGATCAGAAATCTGGCAGACAACACGCATCAAAAAGATTAAAGGGTGGCATACAGAATCTTTCTTTCTTAATGATTTGCAAGGTGGTTCAAATTGAAAATATTCCCAAATTCAACCTTTACACTTTAAAGAAACACCGGGAGTCTAACCCTCAAGGTCAGTCCCTGCCTTTAACACGATTCCCCGACATTTAATTTTACGCCTATTGTAACTACATTTGCTAACAGTTACACATTTGTATTAGAATCAATTAAAAGACAGCAAACGCATCAGAGGGACTTTCCACGAATTATCCCAGCAAATGCATCTGACGGTGCTAGATGCATATCCCGTTTCCATTCATTTTGTTTTCAGATTGTATAAATACTGTATCTGATTGCACCACTTGAAGCACGAAGGTTTAAAGCTGTTTTTTTTTGTTTTTACGCGCTGTTCCGAACTTATCGATCAAGCAGTGGGTGAGAATATACATTGATTAGCCTGTGCTGCCTTTTTGTTCCAATGCGCTGTAATTCCTGCCTCAGACACGCGATGGAGGAGAGATACCACCAGTACACACCAAGAGAAAGGGGAGCTCACCTGACTTTCCGCGGTCGCACTGTCTGGAAGAAGATTCCCTTTTCCCTCTCACGACAAGCACCCGAACAAGGTTGCCCAGCACATGCACCAGATCCGCATCGCACAGCGCCAGGAGCGCCAGGATGAACTTCGCCTTGGTCCAGTATTTGCCGCCCGCGAACCATTCCCACGTCTCCAGCATCTCCCTGCCGAGGAGCCGGGAGTCCAGAGCGCGGTCGGCGCTCCAGGTGGTGGAGTCCTGGTCCAGGCTGGGAGCCGCCCGGGACCGGGAGTAGGTGAAATCTTTCCCCAGGGTCACCTGCAGAACCTTCTGGGTGTTCACCAGGAGGTCCAGGCTCTGGCAGCGGAGGATGAGCCCCGTAAGGAACCTTCTCTTGGAGGCGTCCCCGGCTCGGGTGAACCAGCGGGTGGCCGCGGACAGCCGGGAGTTGAACCTGCAGGCTTCGCAGGAGCCGCAAAACCTGACGGCGGAGTCCCCGCTCCCGCACCTCAGCTCATGCGCCGCGTCGATCCGAAATTCATGACGCTCCTTGTCTTCGAAAGACCTCATGTCTTTCAGATGGCTAGACCCCCGCCCCCCCCCTCCTCTTCTAAAATCGCGGGCCGCTGTTGCCTTACCTGAGTTTACATGTAACCCCCCTTTTTTGAGTGTGGAGATACATCAAACTGTGTGCATACAGTAGCTTTTAAGGTAATCCTGGAATACACGGTGAAATACAGTCTGGATCTGATACGTCTGTTATTTAGACATAAAAAACGACTGCTTTAAAAAAAAAAGTTTTTGAAGCTACCGTGCTTGGCGTTTAAACAGTTTGAAAAGTATTTTAATAATGCGCAGTAAGATTGGTGATCATGAAGTAAATATCGCTTGTCGAGTAGTCCTCTTTGATAATAAGAAGTCTTCTAGCCCTTAGTTAAAGCTCACTTTCGCTTTTTCCCCAAAGTGCAGCGGTGTGCCGGGTTGTTACTGGGTTGCTAAGCAACCCGACGCCGAGCTGGTGAACCTCCACTGCTGCCGATTGTCGTCTCGCGAGGTATATTCGATCTGTGTGCCACATAACATCGCCTTTTCATTATCGAGGATTATTTAAAATAATAATAATAATAATAATAATAATAATAATAATAATAAAAATCGCTCGTGTTCATAAACCCCATTTTTTAATTTCGTGCAGCTGGAAAAAGATCTCAAATGTCATGTAAAAATCGTTTAAAAATTAGTAAACATAAACTTTTAAAATGATGTGTGTTTTTACTAATACTTTTTTCAATCTTTTTAAAAGATTTAAAAAAAAAAAGCAAAAAGGACTGTGCGCCGCCCGGGAATCGAACCCGGGTCGCAAGAATGGGAATCTTGCATGATACCACTACACCAGCGGCGCGGTTGGGAAACAGCGCTTCAATCAGCCCCTATAAGCGCTAGGACACGCCTCTTTGTCCCTTTCTTATAGTCGAAACGTTTTCATGATATGAACGACATATTATATACTTTTATAAAAGTATATTATGTGCTTTGCGGGAGTTGTTCTCGAAAGCGCGATAGGGTAAAGCTAAGAGCCCTCAGAGAAATGTCTTAACAGGTGTCTCTCAAAATGAATTAATCCACGTTTACAATATGATTCTCTTTCGCGAATATGTTAAACAGTATAGAAAGTGCCAATCTGTCGTAAGTACGATACAGTCTTGGGAAGTTTCTCTGACCCTTTGCGTACATGTAATATATAAACAGGCCTAATATACGCGATAGTTCACTGCACAAGTTTTAAAGAAACGCCAGCGCACAGCAGATCTGCAGATCGGTGCAACTGCCCAGTATGACGCACTTCCTTTAATTCCTTTGAGGAATCGACTATAACGTATATAAACGGATCTCGGCGAAGGTTTGGACAGCACAATGTCCCCTTATTCGAGAAACAGTGAAGAGAGATAACACGGCAGTCTTTCCCGCAGAAATTGCAACGTGCCCCTGCAAAACAACAAAAAAATCACTTTCTTCAGCCCCGAATCCGATAGGAGTTCATACAGCAAGAGGGCGCAGTGCTCACTCGCTGTAAAAGCACAGCACCAGCTACAAAATGAAACTGATCAAAACCTCCTTTGATATTAAGACTAGCCTGTACGTCTTGAATATCAGACGGGGATATTTGACTTTTACGATCCTGCTTATGTTCGGGAAACACGATTACAGTACATCTTTACGGCAATGAATCTTTGGGGCAAGTGTACTTTTTTTTTGCTTTCAGTTTTCTGTTTGGGCACAATTTTTTTTAAAACAAAGTAATCGTCTCTTGAAATAATTGAATGGGATTTGTAATTGTTACCAGCCTTGCTTTCAAAACGTGTGTGCACTCTAACCAGCTGAATTGAACCTCTGTGGATGAAAACAATCCTTCGTTGTGCCGAGTCATTCACACCTGTGTCGTTCGTTATTAACTGATCGCCTGTTAAGGGCTGTTCAGTCCGAAATAACACTCGTCAAATTAGAGGAGAGACTCAGGAATTTGTGGGAAACTACATTTGAATTAAGATACTACTGAAACTCAGGACTGAGTGCACACACGAGTAGACCAAAAATGTAAACACAGCAAGCAGATCACATTAAGACATGGGTTAGTACCAGTGATTTAGCGCTTCTGTGGAACAGACGCAGAAGACTCGGGACCACTGAAATAACATATGCCGAGGTTTATTTGTAAACCCGATTACAGGATCAGAGCATGAGATTTACTGCCTTCAAAGGTATGATCGATTCCCGGCCTCTCAGAACAAAATAAAAATTCGCAATAGAAACGATAGGGGGAGTCCGTGTAGAATAATTGTTTTTAAACCTTAAAAATAATCAGTACTGATTTATTCTCTTTTGTATACAACAGTATAAGTTCAGGAGCATCATTAGTATTACAGAATAAGACAAAGTACTAAAGGATTTATCCTGTACCGACTACAGGAAAATGTATACTGACGGATTTTCTATATAAATGGAGTGCAGTAATGAACTAACAGATGTCACCTTCGAGACCATGTGATGCCAAGCCATATAGAGCCTTAAACTTAAGCAGAATTTTAAAATCAACTAACATCCTGACAGGAAGCCAGTGCAGGGACTCCAAGACAGGAGTGATGTGATCTCTGGCACTTGTTCTAGTCTGGATCATAGCAGCGAAATTCTGAACATACTGTAGCTTGTTTGGGGTACTTTTAGAGCCTCTCACAAGCTGGGCATTCCAGTAATAAAACCTTATGGGCAATTAAAGTATAATTGTAAGCATTGCACACTTTATACATACCTCAGTTTGTAATCAGTCTGGTGTGCTGCACATAGACTCATCACATATTCCTCAGGTTTATGTTAGAGTGTATGCTGTTGTTCCTCAGGGAGACTGTGGTGCTGCCCATTGTTGTCTAGTAACTATATTATTCTGCTCCTGGGATGGCAGAGTGCCTTTCTCAGTCCCAGGAGAGAATGATCTGGCTGGAAACTCCACTCCAGGAGTAGGAAGAGAGTTGCTCCTCAGGCAGTGACAGGCCGAGTGAATGTCCCCAGGGTGATGTGAGCAAACTACACAATCCCTGTACAAATACATCGGACATTCTGTGTCAAGGCTGTCCTGGTAGTCTTCTGAAGCCAAGGATGTTTATTTAAATAAAAGCCCATTCGGTCTAGAAAGATCTAACCCCATGCACTAGCCTGACTATAAAACACATCACTGAAAACACTTTGGTTTCCTGGTGTGGAGGACTTGTTTACTACCTTTTTTTTCGTCTACGTCCTGCAATTCAGCCATCATCTCCTTAAAGAGCACTTTCCTAAACAGCACTCACATGTTGCTTCTGTCCAAACTGCATACAAAACAAAATGTCCAAAAAGTAGAGAGAGTTAAGTACTCATGCACAGATTCTGCTTTTTTGTCATTGGGGGTAATATTGAATTCATTTTAGGAATTCCTTTGTTCTTTTGAACTAATTCTTTGAACTAAGTCATTCCTTGTAAGAGTGTGTAAGGAGGTTTAGCTGAATCCATCTTTAGTGTGTATTGCTTTAAACCTACACCTTAAACACAAGAGTATTTGTGTAATGTGGACATGAAAAAGCTGAATTTGATATTGCAAGACCCGAACAGCTGCTTAAAGGAATAGAAATCGGGCTCAACAACAAAGGCAACAGGGCTCAGTGATGGTGGCACTGTAGTCTGGGGTCCATCCTTCATGGAAAACAATGATTGAAAGGAGGCCAGAAAAAACATTCCAGACTCTGCTGCAATGTTTTCTGCTCTGGGATTGATCTTTATTCTAGTCAGTTAAATCCTGTAAGAAATCCAGTAACCTCAGGGAAGCTAGCAGTACTTGAAGAGGTGGTCAACAGTGGTGTGATGGTGTACTAGGAAAGCTGCTTTCTCCACTAACCCAGGGACTTTGACTGGAAATGGCAGCATATAATAACCTGGACATGGCTAAGAGAAATCTTAATCTGTTGGACTAAAGGAGAGTTGGAGAAGGACTGTGATTTGTTTTTATGTTAATTTCCTTTTCTGCTTTTTTGTTTGGTGACAGTATGTAACAGTAATAGTCATGTTCTTAAATTCAAAAGGGCTGATCTATCTGAACACAAAAGTCCGGACACGTGCCAGTGTTGAAATAAATAACGATCCTGGTGAAATAAAAGTCCCTGTTATCAGCTAGATAGGAAAGTTTGACAAATACAGAAGGAAACAAAAGATTTTCACCAATACATAAGGAGTCCTATTGAACGAAAATCTTTTGAGTTTACATTAAGGTTCCTAATGTATTTACTGAAGTGGTCAGTTAAAAATAAACATAACATAGATGCAGGATGGTGCTGTTTGCAGTATTTAATCCAAAAGAAATCTTTTTCACAAATTTGCTGCTGCTTCTACTGTCTTCGGTGTTTCATTGGAATAATAGGGATCTCTTATCATTTCTGTAAAATGTTTCTAGATCCACTTTCACATCAACTTAATAACATAAGACAGGGATCCCATGGGACACGTCAAGCTTATCTGGGTGCCAGTAGCTACAGTAACTGATCATCCAGCTGTTTCTTGAGAGAATCTGGTTCAACAACATGAGTTGCATTTCTGGGACAACCCTTTGTGTTAAGGTCTTCCTCCAGTTGTGAGTTTTAACCGCCCTTCATTGAGAGCAGAGTTTCAAAAATAACTTAAATAACTTGTATTAAAAATAAGTACTGTATGTTTCCTCTGAGGGAAGCGACTAATGTCACTCTTTTAATCTCTAAAAAACGTCTGATTCAACCTGAATGATGATTTTATGATGTCACAATGTCATGAGCTTGTGTACACCAGTTGCTAAGGTGGAAAGGATTTTAAAATACTGTCTTTGCCAAAGGGAGGAGAAAGTATGAAGCAAGGTTCATGCAATGGAATGACTTCATTTGAAAATGGATTTTCTTTTCCACAGGAACAAACAGGGTAGCCAATCTGTGTCTGAAAGTCTCCCAGCTGTTGTTGCTTTCAGACGATATACAGAGAACAGCCGTGTTGTTATTCAGTTTGAGCCACAGATATAATAGTCTGCTGTATTTAA